GACTTCGACGACCGTCGCATTCGCATTCCATGATCTGTCTGGCAGCTTTTGATGTGGTTCATGGCACGGCTAATCTCGAGCGCCACGCACTGGATAGACATCTACCTCTACGTACTCGCAGCTAAGCCCACAAGAAACCGCAGAGCGATTGCAGACCTCGCTCATTCATGGACTCACTCCGGCGGAGGCGGAGGTTCGCCTCGCACGCGATGGACCGAACGAACTACCTCATGAAGATCCGGAGCCTATCTGGCTTCGGTTTTTGAAGCAATTCCGTGAGACTCTGATTCTGCTCCTTCTGGCCTCCGCGGGAGTATCCTTCGTCATGGGTAATTACGACGATGCAATCAGCATTACCCTCGCCGTCACTATCGTCGTCAGCGTCGGCTTCGTCCAGGAATATCGGTCGGAAAAGTCCCTGGAAGCCCTAAACCGTCTCGTCCCTCATCATGCGCACCTGATTCGCGATATACCTTCGAACAGTCCTCCCATGGCAAATTCGGGCGCGGCAGCCACTGCGGAGATCGAACTGCAGGAGCTTCAAAGCAAGAGCCCGTCTATCTCCAATGCCGTCAAAGCGTCAACCACTGTTCCAGCAAACGAGTTGGTGCCTGGTGATTTGGTCCTGTTCACCGTCGGAGACCGCATCCCAGCCGACATTAGAATTACGGCAGCCACGGACTTGGCCATTGACGAATCCAATTTGACTGGCGAAAATGAGCCAGTGGTCAAATACTCCGACGCCATTCGCAGTTCAAAGTCCCTCCCGGTCCAACCACCTCGGTCACCGTTTTATGATGCACCTGCCAGCGGCGCGGTTGGCGCAGATATTCGTTTAAATGAACAACACAACATCGCTTTCATGGGAACTTTGGTACGCTCCGGATATGGACAGGGGGTTGTCATTGGAACTGGTGCGCAGACCGAGTTTGGTAGCATTTCCATGTCGCTACAGGAAATTGAAAGCCCACGGACTCCGCTACAGCTATCAATGGATCGGCTCGGCCAAGAGCTGAGCTACATCTCCTTTGGGGTCATCGCACTGATTGTTGTGATCGGTTTGATCCAGGGTCGGAAGCTGCTCGAGATGTTCACTATTGGTGTTTCGCTCGCAGTTGCTGCGATTCCAGAAGGGCTTCCGATTATTGTAACGGTGACTTTGGCTCTGGGGGTTTTGCGCATGGCCAAGAGAGGAGCCATCATGCGAAGGCTACCCAGTGTCGAAACCTTGGGATCGGTCAATGTTGTGTGCAGCGATAAGACCGGCACCCTGACTCTCAACCACATGACTGTAACTAAAATGTGGCACTTCGATTGCTCCGAGCCATTTGAGGTTCACAGCGACATCACGTCGCTGACTCCAGGGCCCGCAGCTCGGACCGTGCTTCGTATTGGTAATATCGCCAATAATGCCAGATTGTCTCGTGTACATGCGAATTCTCCGGCTAGCGCATCCTCTGCTGCCGTGCTGTCCTCAACTGATGATAGGGCTTCGGGGAGCGTTCGGAGCAGATGGGTTGGGCAGCCGACAGATGTTGCGATCCTCGATCTACTGGATATCTTTGGCGAGGACGATGTACGCGATCGAATTAGCGCTCGTGTTGCAGAGACTCCGTTCAGCTCCGAGCGCAAATGGATGGGTGTCATTATCGGTAGCGGCACACCTAGCGAATCATCTTCACTAGCCGCTCCAGGAGGCACTAATATGGCCTACATCAAGGGCGCACTTGAGCAGGTCTTGGCGCGTTGCGATACCTACCTGACCAAGGACGGGCGGGAGGTGATCCTGGATGAACCTCGACGACAAACCGTGCGACAGGCGGCTGAACAGATGGCATCAGAAGGGTTGAGAGTCCTTGGTTTTGCTAGTGGTGTATCGAGAGACGGTAAAGGAAGAACCCTTGGCAGCCGATCAGGTACGCCTGCATCACGCACCAGTCAAAGCGATGATGATGAGCGATATACCGGGCTTGTTTTTGCTGGGCTGGTGGGAATGAATGATCCCCCCCGCAAGGATGTGCACAAGTCTATCCGGCGATTGATGGCCGGGGGCGTGCGGATCATCATGATCACTGGAGATGCCGAGACTACTGCAGTTGCTATCGCTAAGAAACTAGGAATGCCCGTTAATGATACCCCTGGGTCCCGGCCCGTCATCAGCGGTGAGGAAATCGAGCGGATGAGCACTACCGAACTCTCCCAGGCAATTGCTTCGACTTCGATCTTCGCCCGTACGAGTCCAGACCACAAGATGAAACTGGTTCGCGCCTTGCAAGCTCGCGGGGATGTGGTAGCCATGACTGGGGACGGTGTCAATGATGCACCAGCCCTGAAAAAGGCGGACATTGGGATTTCTATGGGCAAGTTAGGAACCGACGTCGCCAAGGAGGCGGCGGATATGATCTTGACAGACGACGACTTCTCGACCATTCTGCGGGCCATCGAGCAAGGCAAAGGCATTTTCTACAATATCCAGAATTTCATCACCTTCCAGCTCAGCACCAGCGTGGCTGCCCTCAGTCTTGTTTTGCTGAGCACCACTCTGGGCTTCAAGAATCCATTGAACGCGATGCAGATCCTCTGGATTAGTGAGTAGTCCTGGCCTCATGTCATTCCTATGCCCTTGCTGATAGATTTCACCTAGACATTCTTATGGACGGTCCCCCAGCACAATCTCTGGGCGTAGAGCCGGTTGATCCCTCCATCATGAACCGCCCTCCGCGCCCGAGGTCAGCTCGGGTCTTGACGAGGCCACTCATTCAGAGGGTTCTGACCTCGGCCATGGTGATTATGCTCGGCACCTTAGCCATCTACGTGTACGAGATGGGTGATGTGGATGATGTCGGTCATCCCGGCAAGCGCGCGCGCGTGGTCACGGCTCACGATACGACAATGACGTTCACCTGCTTTGTTCTTTTTGATATGTTTAACGCTCTGACCTGTCGCAGCGAGGGCAAGTCGGTCCTGCGGGGCGAGATCTCGCTGTTCAGCAACAAGATGTTCAATTACGCCGTGCTGGGCTCCTTGGCTGGGCAGGCATGTGTCATCTACCTGCCATTCTTGCAGCGGGTGTTCCAGACGGAGGCGTTGAACCTGGCACACCTTTTCAAGCTGGTGTGCATCTCCAGCAGTGTATTCTGGGTAGACGAGGCGCGGAAGTATTATCTGGCGCTGCAGCGGCGGAGGGCCGTTGGGGTGGGGTATAGCTCCAATGTCTGATAGATGCGATGCATGGGTATGAGTGGGTGGGCTGGGTTCAAGTTTCTGGGTTAATAATGCCATCATGGCTCAAATGTGTATAGAACAAATGATACGGTTCTTGTGTATCTTAATATTCGTGAATACAACAACAACGCAGCTTGGAGAGGCGAATCTGTTTGTATTGCCATGCCCCGGTCTTGACAGCCGTGTAGACTGCATGACCATCTGGGTAAGTAATCCCTTGGTTGGCGGACCAGGCCAGGGTATGCAGGCGTTAGGGTTAAGGGTTCGCAGGCGATGTAGGAGAACTGGTACACTTGGTCGGGTCATGGCGACACTGATAAAAGTAAAAGGTGCCACTGGCCTGGACTCCTCACACTTTTTGTCCGGTGTTGCTTCGTTCGGGTCTATCCTATCTACTCCCTACCAGTCTGCAAACTTGGTGTGAGCAGCAGACCCGCGTATCCCACTAAGGCTGAGAAGATACCGCTTGAGCAAAAACAGATGACCTACGCAGGGCTCGAACCTGCAATCTCTTGATTCGTAGTCAAGCGCCTTACCATTGGGCCAGCAGGCCTTGCTGATGAAACACTGTTTTTTTTCATGCTCTATAGCCCTAAAGCTGGCTTGTGGTTGTCTTTCGCACTTCGTTGCGACTATGCAATGTATAACTTCTCTATATTGTGATATCTTTGGTATTGTTGTTGTCGATGAGGTTTAGTGTCTCTTGGATGCTCTCTTCTCCGCGCTTGGAACTTGCTGGGGCTGGTGGCAAGTTGCGGGGGTTCGTTCCTCGCCTGAGTCGGTATATATTCTAGGTGGGTGGCTCCCTGTCTTCTAGAGGTACCAGGACAGGCCTACGAATATCGAGACTGCACGCTTGGATGATCACACTATCCCCGCGCAAGGGGTGTAACCCAATGCGACGACAAGACAGGCCACGTGTGTACACTCGATGGAGGCAAGCAATGGGAGGAGAATATGCAACAAGCACGGCGCCCCCTGGCGCAACACCAAGCGCTATAACCACACAATAGAGTCCTGGGACACATGATACAAATGACCACAGTCATTCCGGATGGCTGATCAGATGCCACATGTATACATACAACTGGAGACTGTAGTGTCGTGCGATTAAGCACTCTCAGCCCTGAAAGGTACGGTGCATGTCAAACCCCAGAGTCCTTCAAATAGGCTGATAATTGGCCCTGGTCTGCTCCCAGAGGGGCCGGTCGCGCTTCCCTTAATCGGCCCCAGGTCATTTCCTACTATGCATGCCCTCTTCGCCCCGGAGGAGACCTGCATCACCTGGAGATGAAGTAGCCAAGGGGAGCATGAGTGAGCACTGGAAGATACAGCAAAGAGACCGAAGAATACACACCTCCAGCCCGCTAATGAGCCACAGTCATCACGACTACAAAATATTTGCCACAATATCTATGATCTCCGTCTCGGTTATCAGCTCGAGATGCGAGAGGTTCTCACGTTCGTCGGGCCCACAAAAATCTTCTCACCTCCTACTCGTACCAGTCCCCAGCACCTTTTTTTTTTTCCCAATCAATTTTTTTGGGGGGGGGGGGGGGGTCACTTCTGCCTCTTGTTTTATTCGTGAACACACTAGCCCAACCGATCCTCCAAGATCATGTCTCAACCCACACTTTTCGCATCCCTTCCAACATGGAGACCCGAGCCTGCATCTCGGTGCCCGGGGAAATCCACCAAGATAGGGTTGCGTGGAGACCTGGGGCCGGCTCCGCAAGTACGTAAGCACATAATCCGGCATAGATTACATCATCACAGCCCGGATGGTCTAGTGGTATGATTCTCGCTGTAAGTTCACACTTTACAACATACCACAAGCAAAAAGACATCTCTAACTTTCCTAGTCGGGTTATAGCTCAAAATGCGAGAGGTCCCGCGTTCGAATCGCGGTTCGGGCCCTGATATCTTTTTTTTTCAATCTTTGCTGTTGACTTACGAGCCGAGCTAGCTAGCTAGCTACGTAGCTATTGGGGCGGGCTCATGGGCCATGGTGGTTCCTCATTTTCCCGATGCCCGCTCGGGATGGCTCGGAACCCTCTCGCGCGCCTCGTCGCTTTCGCAGTCGCCGCCGCCGCCGCCGGCCTGCCGAGTGTTTCGGAGACCTCCGGTATAGGCGGATCGTTTTTTAAACTATCGTGATTCCACTCCGTGGACCGGTTTCGAGGCTATATACCTAGATGCAGACAGCTTTACTCTTATGTTGGTAGGTATAATGGATGCACATTGATTACTGATATGCAGGTGCAAGCATCATTGCCTTGTCCGCGGCAAACTCATGTAACTACCGGGACAGGCCTAGATTGGGAGGAGGGGGGAGGGGGGAGGGGGTTCGATCCAGTGCCCACACTACACTGGACCTGGACAGAGGAGCAAAAAGGTGGGCAGGTGGGGTCAAGATGGACTCCATCCCTCCGCCCCCAGGCTTTTACCACTCTGTCTTCTGCAGCAGTGCAGTCAGCCCGGACCCAAGCTCTGGGTAAGTTAACCTAGTCTATGACTGCAGGGGTTGCTGGAAGAGCCGATTTGAGACCCGATGGCCCAGGCACAATAGCCCTGGGAAAGGCCTGCCGATATTCGGATATAGGCCTATGAGTAAGTATGTACTCCGTTAGTACGGAGTAGTTTAATCTACGTCTGGTTGCCCCAGTGAACTACTGGATGGAGGCTAGTTCATATGTTTGTCAACTTAATTTCAGAGGCCTAAGAATATACCCCCTCCGCTTGGTAACTCACCACCATGCTCCTTTTCCTGTCTGTGTTTTCCCTAAGAGGGGTTATGTCAGGGTCAGGCCGTGTCCAATTGACCATGGACTACAGCACATTGGCACTCAAAGGCGTAACTTAGACTAGTTATAGGTGGATAGACAAGCTGACTGTATACTGCGGGTGATTTAGGGTAGTCCATCCTTCGCAGAGAAAGGTTGACCCACAAACAGAGGGGCTTCGATTGGCCAAGCTTCTTGTTATCAGCACGATGGAGCCGCTTGACGCTTGGGCTAGACTGTTTCCGGCGGTAGCGGAGCCCCAGCCCGGCTTGGGTGGCGTGCAGCACCTTATCGTTCCCTCCCAGCCAATCGTTCCCAAGCAATGATGAGCTCAGAGAAACCAACCTTGATAAGACCGTATCTTTATCTTTCAGGTTCAAGGTTCCCTTTCCCTTTCCCTCCGTCCAGATTGGGGTTCCACGGAACAGGCTGAGTGGATTCCTCCAAACAGAATGGAAGGAGGCAGACAGGCAGACAGGCAGACAGGCAGGCGAGACTGAAACTGTGAAACTTCCAACCTGGGAACACCCTGGGATCGACACTCCTCCGCAAGAGAGTTTCGTATCCTTCGTAATAGTGATGGTCCATTCCAGGAGACAAGGGCGAGGAGTACGCAACTATGAAATTGTTTCTTGTTTCTGGTCCGAGGGTACAGTACAGGGACGACTGCTTGGACCGGAACCTATATCATTCATAGGGGACATCGTGCCGGAGTGCCAAGTCTCAAAAATAAGATGCCTGGAAAACCAGCAGTAAGCGACCTCTGCTTACAGCCAGTAGTAAAGTAGGCATTCGGATGCAATCTTATGCTTCAAGCCGACCACTGTCCGTTTTGTTATCGTCGGGAAGGAGCGATAGGGAAAGCGAGGTCGACAGGATGGATGATACGTAGCTATCTCCCTACCGTAGCTGCCCGGAGGTCCGTAGGCATAAATACATGTTCATCGAGCCCTGTTGTCCCTTTGAATGTCGGGGGATATTTTTCTTTTCTCGCCAGACCAGCCGGGCCACATTGTCAATGCTGATGGAGAGGCGGACGGCGATGGAGGGCCAATCCATACATGCACCAGGCTGAATGTGACAGTACTGAGAGTACATACCCCCAGTGCAGTATATCCCCCACGACCAACAGCTCTCAAGCCACTTGCTTCAGTGACCCCTCGACTGTCCTGATGCATCGGAGGGTCAGGTCTGGGCAGTACTTCTTGTCCGCCAATGATGAGGCCAATGGAAGCGAGCGGGATGGTATCTCGTAACCTTGATTGTGATACCGAAGTTGAGGGCAGTTGAAGCAGTTGAAGCTGATGACGGTCATCCGCGGCTGACAGGGTAGGGTGATCGATCAGCTTATTTGTTGACCCCAGGATTCCTCCGCTGTCCGCTGTCGCGCGACGGTCAGGAAGCATTCGCTGTGCTTTCGGCTATATGTCTACATAGGATATACTATGTAGAGAGCTGATTTGAATCAGTAGGATTGGGCAGGGGGTGCCACCGACTAAACCGCATTCTGTAGGCGCGCATACCGAGCCTTGCCTGGGTTTCGGGGTGGTCTGCCCCGTCTCTTCCCGGCTTTTGCCACGAGGGAATATTCGATATGGCAGATAAAGCTGAGGAGAGCCATTGACATGGGACAGTTCGATGAAGAATGACGAGAGAAGGCAAATGAGAAATGTTAAATGACTGACGAATGAAAGCATTCTAGATTGACTGCTTCTCATCATCAATCAGTACAGTACATAACTGTACAGTTGATGTATGCGCACCGCACAGTACTGAGTATCCACTGAGTATCCTTTGAAGAAAGTTGCCGTGGAAGGGAAAGTTGCAACTTGCAAGGGTTCGCCGTTCGGTCGAGGATCGTCGGGCCCGAGTTTATTTTATCCCATTTGATTTTTCAACTCTTTCACTCCCTTCGTTATCGCACCTTTTTTTTTTTTTTTTTTTTTTTTTTTTTTCAATTTTCAATTTCAATTTTCCCAATTTATTATCATTATTATTATTATTTTTTTGGAGTTTCTTTTCCCGATGGTCGTTTTATTTTCCCCGTCCAGTCCATCATCATGAGCTTCTTTTCCATTTCATCCTCCTCCTCCTCCTCCTCCTCCTCCTCGTTCTCATTCTCATCTTCATTCTCACTTTCCCTCCATCAAAGTTGCCTGGAAGCCTTCCAGCTGCTTATCTCTCGCTTTCCGACGCAGTTCCAGCCAGACAGGGCCGATCGGTTTCATCTGGGCCTGGGAGCAGAGCAATTCTTCGGTTCACCGTGAAAAAAACAGCTCCACCTTGACCTTCCGGTGCCCAACGGGGGGGATCGGGATCCATTCTTGCTTCAATTCAGAATTCAGAATTCAGAACAGAACAGAACAGAAGAGTTCAGGGAGTCTTTCCCACTCTATATCTACCATTCTACCACTCAATCCACTCAATCCACTCAATCCTCAAGCGTCCTGTGGTTTAATTCGACCCACTCAGGTGTCTTTCCAGAAAACTCGTTGCCAGTCAATTACACTTCGTATTTATATCCTGCCCACGCCTCCGCCCCGTGGCGGTTTCTCCTTCTCCACATCCGACGGCGGAGTTCTTCTACTACGCATACTAGACTCCTCCTACTCCTCCTCCTCCTACTACCCTCGACTTACTTCATCCATCCTCTTCCTCCTCTTCGCCTCTCCAATTCCTCTTTGCCTCCCTCCGTACCATCTCTCCCCCTCCACTGACGTTGCTACTGTCAATTATTCCGATCTCGGGTTGACTACGCCTTCAATCCCGACCCTCCCTTCCTCCCTTCCAAACCTTCTTTCGTCACGCTTTTCCTACTCACCTTCTTTCGGTGCTTGACTTCTCTCCAGCTCCCCCCTCATATCACTTTATACCCTTGGTCATAACAGAAGGAAGAATATTTGGCATCGCTCGACAAATTGCCACTGGTTCATCCCGTCACTCCACCCCTCCGCCATCCGCCAGTTCTCAGCGTGAGGACAACTTGGGCGGTGGTGACTCAATTCGCTCTCAACCATATCACTTCAATTGTGTGCTCTTAAATCTACATTATCCGCCAATTGAACCGCCACGATGTCGGGCAACGTCGGCGTCTACATCCCTAAATATGCGTCTTACAACTGGACGGGCGCACCCTCCGATTACGAAGCCCTTGCTACCAACGAACTGGGAGGCGATTCTCGTATGTGATCCTGTGCGGGCTAGACGGCCTCCCATTGCCCCTCACACCAATGCTTACCCCGGTCATAGGAACGGAGAACCTGAACAAATGGTTTCAATCCGGAGACCAGGCCTTCATCATCGTGTCCGCTGCTATGGTCATGGTCATGATTCCCGGTCTAGCGTTCCTATACTCTGGTCTTGCCCGTCGAAAGTCGGCTCTCAGCATGATTTGGGCCTGTATGGCTTCGTTCTCCGTCGTCACGTTCCAGTGGTACTTCTGGGGCTACTCCCTCGCCTTCTCACCCACCGCCACCAACGGATACATCGGCAACTTGCGCAACTTCGGTCTCATGAAGACGCTCGCCGACCCCAGCCCTGGATCTCCACTCATCCCAAATCTGCTCTATGCCTTCTATCAGGTACACTTCCCTACCATGCTCATGAATCTTATCTAGGAGACTGACCCCGTTCTTGGTATTTAGATGCAATTCTGTGGTGTAACGGCAGCTATCATTATGGGAGCCGTGGCCGAACGAGGTCGTATGCTACCAGCCATGGTGTTTGTTTTCATTTGGGCCACCATTGTCTACTGCCCATTGGCATGTTGGGCCTGGAATGTGAATGGGTGGGCGTACAAGTATGGTGTCTTGGATTATGCGGGGGGCGGCCCCGTTGAGATCGGATCCGGGTTGTCTGCTTTTGCCTACTCGATGGTCCTCGGTCGCCGTCAGGAACGGATGATGCTCAACTTCCGCCCGCACAACGTTTCGCTTATCCTGCTGGGTACAGTCTTCCTTTGGTTTGGATGGTTGGGGTTCAACGGTGGCTCGGCTTTTGGCGCTAATTTGCGTGCCACCATGGCGTGCTGGAATACCAATCTGACTGGAGCGTTCGCGGCCATGACCTGGGTTTTGCTCGATTGGCGTCTTGCACGCAAGTGGTCCATGGTCGGCTGGTGTTCCGGCACTATC